TTTCTGAATAAACGGCGGAGACGGAGGAAACAGATATCGGGAATAATGAGCCACAGCGCTCAGGCAACTGAATTACAACCACTGCAACCCCAGAAAGATCCAGCTATAGCTAATGAAGCTTTTTTTTGTAAAAGAGATGAACCGACAAGAAACTAAATTCCTTATTTTTATCACTTCCTGACAAATCGAGTTATTACACTATCGCCTCCAATTCCACTTGTATTAATATAAGTTTCTAGAATAGCAGGTGCGGTACTCATATACATTCACATTGAGAGCTAAAAGAAGTGTACATTTATCAGTCTTCTCTGGATTTAAGCAGATGTGAGTAAGACAAACTGCATCTTTAAGGTGACATTTCACGGTGACAGGACATAGGCTTAGTGAGAAATTAGTTTAATGAAAACATTGGTTGATGCAATATAAATCATTAAAAATATTCTTTTAATGAAAACGTTGATTGATGCAATATAAATCTTTGGTGGCACACAGCCGGCGAGCCCGTGCAATCTTGCGTTTTTGCCGCGTTTTGTACTGTAGAAAGAATGCTTAGAATCCCAAATTAGCTTGAATTTGTAAGATAATGGCCCTCGAACTTCAAAAAGTTAATTGTGCAACTACATGGCACTTGGACAGTGAAGATTCTGTTAAAATTTCATCTTTTCTTTTCTTCTGGTTTCCGCTTTACAAACTTCCACTCCAAAAATTTTCACGAGGCCATATTTGAGGGCCACGCACACCTGGGAATTAAATTTGGACTGGTAGCATCCCCTCAGGACTTCAGCTTTCCAGCTTTTCTGGTTTCTGAGTTAACGATTTTCTCCCCAAAAACTTTTACTAGACCGTACATGAGAACCACGCAAATCTGGAGGCGGAATTGGAAATCTTTGTGTTGTACGTGAGCTGAGAACATTCCTTTAAAATTTCGACCACCCAGCTTTTCTGGTTTCCGAGTTAGCGGCTCTCCTGTCAAGGCTTTCACATTGTCTTAAGCGTGGTCCAGGCATGCGTAAGGGTCAGTAACGCGGTCCAGAAGTGGCGCTTGGTGGGGAAGCCAGCTGGCAAAAATTTGGCGCGGGAGCTTGCTTGGTTATCAAGTTGAAATACCCGGACAGATATATGCAGGAAAGCATAAAAATACTCGCTACTGCCCCTCATTCCAACTGCAAAAACCCCTCTCAATTTGGCTAGAAAACTTTCCAACAAAATTTCTCCAAAAGAGACAGTAACCATATCACTGCGACAAGCAACAGGAAAGGAATCATTATAAAAACCTCTCCTTTGAAAATACTCGCCTCCTGCCCTGGTGAAGCACTGGAACACTTACTTTGATACTTCGATCAACTGCACATCGTGGTTTTCTAACTGTTCCAGCTGCTTAAACCAGTGCTGCATCGTATGGTTTTCAATATGGTTTCAGTCCTGTTATTTCTTTCGTTCCACCGATTGACCGAAAGGGTGTTCTGACAAAAGCGCTTGCCAAAAAGGCACTGAGTCAAGTAACAATAAAGTATTTTAGGAGAAGAATTCATTGACCTTAGAAAAATAGCAAACTTATCAACGAATGTGCCAAATCACTAACCGAACGTAGCTCTTGTGATGGTCAAAGTAGTGAACAAGTGTTGCCAGCACATACGTATGCGCCATATCGAACAGCGAATTCATTACTAGCACCCTATCGAGATGTCGCAGTGGCAAAAATTTATTTGGATAGTGCCTTCGAATGTCTGACCTGAAATGTCCCCCTCAACTCAGTCTATTTCTTTTTCCCCGTTAGAGGAACATCTCGGCATAATTGTGCGTAAATTTACTCTCAAGCTGCTGCTTCTCAAAAAACGATAAAAGGTTTTGCAGTACAGTTCCGGAATGGACTCAGAAACGTAGGATCACGTCCTTTTCTGTCCAGACCGCTGAAATTGGGTACAGAACTGATCCGCAGCTTTATCCGAATACGGGCGAGCTGTGATTTTATCACTTTGAAAAATCAACTGACAGCACGGCCTGTTATCGGAATCAAAATTTTGCTAAATCCTAGCAGATTTGTTAAATCAAATCTGAACAGGTTTGGGATAAAATTTTGTTAATTTATATATTTTAAAGCGTAACTTCGGATTCAGTTTATGATGTCGACATTCCAACAGTTCTCTATAGTCAGGAATTTTTTAAGCCAGAACGTCCATTGCAAACGCAGCATTTTATTCAATGCAAAAAAATAAAAGAGTTTGAGCTATAATTTGGGATGGCTTTCAACTGCTAGGATTCCGACTTCGGATAGGTCAAAAAATCGTTTTATCACTCTGAGTACTGTTTTTTCCATAGCTTTTACACGGTGTATAATCACAGCAGCTAAGTTGCCATGTACGTGTTTGCTATAGTTCTTGTATTTGTGGCATTATTTACAAAGTCAGAACATTTCTAGAAAGAAACAAATGCGCACGGCTGGAGATAATCATATCCGTGAACACCGACCAATATATTACCAAATCCATCCACTTTCAGTAAGTTACCATACGTTCGGTCGAACCATAAACCTGTAGAGGACAAATTTTGTTTAATTTCAGCCTAAAGTTTCAGAACTTTGGTTTGGTTTTGATTTCAGGACTTTTAGCGTCATTTTCGTCCTTAATCTTTGTTTAAAATTCAAAAACGGATTGCTGGCAAACGCTGAAACAGTCTTGCTCTAGCTCCATCGGGTAGCATAGATAAGTTTTCCTTGAAATAGTCTTTTTTGCTTAATCTGAATCTTCAATCCGAAGCGCTTCTCGAGAATGAGAAGCAAAAGCAGTGTGTAGGAAATAAAACCGCGAATAGCGAAATCGTGTTCGTAAGAGAACTGGCGTAGCTGTTCCGGATAACCAAGCACAATCAGCCGATCCACGATATTCGTGTACAGCAGTATATCATACTCCGGCGATTTGTAAACTAAAACAGCCTGTTCAAAGCTTCTGGCCTGATTTACGGGGTGGTATGGTCCAAAATTTCCGGCCAGTTAGAAATATCAGTTTAACTCCGATTTTTAAGTAAATCATGACAAATCTTTGTTTTGTGACATTTCAAGATCTCTTTAACCGAATTTTGCGAACAGTAGAATCATTCATTTTCGAATTCGGCATTAAAATTCAGAATCAGGCTCATTCTCAAGGGTCTAGACTCATTCCAACACAGATTTTGCAGGGGATCTGTTATATTTTTCATCGCACTTGCCGAACTTTCCGGCTATTTTAATCTTAATTCCCTTTGTTTTTGCAACTAATCTATGCTTTTGAGTGTAGCTGGACGATTTTTAACCTTAGATGTCGCGCTCTTGAACAAATTTTGCTTGTTCTCTAAAAAAGTCCTTCTCCAACTTACTAAATTTTTGGCAATTCTAGATAAGCTTTAAATCTCTTCACAGCGAGGTCTGTCCTTCGCTAATTTGATTTATGATATTTTCCTCACCGGTCCATCTATTCCGTCTTTTCTATTTCCCATCAACTGCTCTTGCTCAATCCCACTTTCTACATCATCATCGCAACAAAAGGGAAAAGCCTCCTCCTTTTTATGCGTTTTTTGCATCTATGCAATGCAAAAACGCATATTGCCGAGGGGTTGTCTGTGTGTGTGTATGTGTGTGTGTGTCTGTGTGTGCGTCTGTAACGAGTTTTCAT